AAGGCGAACTGGTGATCCTCTATGAAAAATCAATTGGTTGGGCCAACATTGCCAATGGTCCCTTTACATGTCTTTAGCTACGGAGCTCACAGCATCAAGTCAGCAGGATAGAATTAACTTCTTGCATTTGGCTGCCTAGTTCAGGCACAGCAAGAAAGGAGAAGATAGGATAAAGTGGGTTTTATTTTTTCAGATTAGCTTCAGGGTGGGAATAGCATATTTGAATAAGCTCCAGAGGAAGAAGTTCTATACAGAGATGGTTGAGTAACAGGAAGAGCCACCATTTAAGTACAGTATGCATAAGTAAAAGTAGAGTATCATTACAGTGACTGTGATGCGAATGGGTATCTTGTCCATTTCTTCACAATGAATGTCACTCTCCCTGACTCTACAGTTAGGCCAACAACACGACTAATAGATTCAGGCCTCAGTTCCCCCTCCCCTGCCTTTGATCCAAGTAGATTCTTCTTTTGAAATGGAGATGTAGCTGAAAATTTGCCCTATATTTCTTCTTCAGCTATGCCACCTAATCTAACATTCTGAATGTTTTCCTGAAGACCAACATGGTTGAACAAAGATCACAGTGGATTGGAGCTATCTTTTTCCTGATTTGGCCAGTTCTCCAAGTGTTCAACTTGGGCAAAACTTCCTGTTTGCATTTTCATCTTCCTTGTTCTCTTCCCTCGGTCCCACAACTTTGTAAATATCTCTTTGTCAAAAAACATTTGGTCCTTGGAACTCTGTATGTATTTGTACCTTGGACATAATTTTTTCTACCATGTAGTAACTTTTTTTTGGTTGTCGTTCTGTTTCTTGAAGTCAGATTCTTATGATAACAGCTCCATATTCCAATGCAGAATTCCAAATTATGCGCATGTAAAAGCAACTTTAAAAAGAAGAAACAAATAAACAGCAAAATAAAATAAAAGGAGGGGGAAAATCAAACAAGCATCTGGACTCCTGGTTTGTTTATTAGAAATTTCATAGAAAAGGGAGGTGGGGTCAACCGCCCCCTTTTTAAGCGCTTTGTCAATACAATACTTTAGCTCTTTTGCAAATACGCATGCAAGTTTGAACAGCTACCATCATTTTCTAATTTTTGCTTTCAAATCTGCACAAAGATTCTCATTGATATACATAGTTTTTCTTAGTGTTTTTAAAAATATGCTTGAGCATAGACTTTGATTCAAACGTTTAGGAATTTAATGGGAAAGTATCGGAGTTGCCATAGACATTTAATAATTCCATATAATTGTAGAGATTAACAGAGAGAAGTTAGCCAGTTTTCTGGAGTAGATATGCAGGTGAAAAGAGGGTTTTTAATACTAATTAATATGCTAATTTGGTGTGAAGCAGCAAAGTCAGGATCTTTAGGTCAATTGCCAAAATAAGATTCCATTCTTAATAAGAAAAGTTGCCAATAATACTGTGAAAACAGAACTGCTTTGAAAACAGAACTATCAGGGCAATGCAAAATGAGCAGGGAATAAACAATAAAGTAATATGCTGAGCAAAACCTTCCACAAAATTTGACGTTCATAAAAGATGGAATTTTCTTTTTTTATTCCTTTGCAAAATGAACTGATTGGAGAGTAAAGGATTTCAAAAATGTAGGCAGGCATATAATGGGGAATAAATATTGAAAGGAATATGGCAACACCAGAGAGTATGTCAGGCCCAGCCCAAGAATGGCATAGAACAATCCAGTCAAATTTCACTTTTTATGTGCTTACACCATACAACCAGAAGCTTGCCAGACTAAACCTATATTACTGTAGTCCTAATGAATACACCTTTGGAAATGTTAGGAAGTGGCCCTGCTAAATTTCTTCTGTTTCCAATTCAGCTCCAGGTTATGTGGTCTTTCGTCTCCACCCATTCCTTGGAATGTGCTCCCTCTTTTCAGGGACACTGATGCTTCACTGTAGTCCATCTTGCCACCTCTCCCTTCATAAATGCAATCCATCTTGGCATGCTATGCAAGCAGCCCAGTGTGTTCCCTATTGTGTGCCTGTTTACTCTCATGTAATCCTTTCCTCTCCAATCTTTCTTCTTTGCGAGAGGGGGTACAGGAGTACAGGAGAGATCACCTACAGAAATCACTTGGGTTTTTTTTCTCCCCCTCCCTTGCATAATAGAGAGATCGGAGAGGAAGGGATTACAAGAGCAGGCAGGTGGGAAATCAACTGAACTGTTTGTGAAATATGCTCAGAGCTGCTGGCAACCACCGCATTGGTTTCATTGTGTTCACCATTCTGTGCTTGCTTACTCTCTTGTCATCCTTTGCTCTGGAATGAATGTAAACACAAACATTAAATCCCTTCTTGGAAATTGTTCTCTAATTATTAAGGGAAGTTGCAGTGAAATTGCAGATAAGGGTGTGAAACTAGTTGATCTGTTACAGGGAGTAGTTGCACCTGCATCGCAGCACTGTACAAGACCGAGCACTCTAAGGGGTGGGGAATGGAGATAAAGAAGGCACAGTTCCGGTGTCCTGATTTCCCACTTAGTGACAGCTTTGCTTAATGATAGAACATAGAATGACTGAGTTGGAAAGGATCTTGGAAATCTTCTAGTCCTGCTCAAACAGGAGACCCTATATCAAATTGCTGTCCAGTTTCTTCTTGAAAACGTCCAGTGATGAAGCACTCACAACTTCCAGAGGGAAGCCATTCCAGTGATTTCATTGTTCTTAAATAGTGCAGCTGGTCTCAATTGTTGCTAAACCAGGATTACCTGTAAATTTTCTGCAAATGGATTACACATTTTTAATACCACCTCCACAAAATTACAAGGCTCTTTTGGCTAAGGCAGGGGATATCCCTGACCCTCTAGACACTACAAGTTCCATCTGTCCCTTCCGTCTTAACAGAGCTGTAAACTCAAAGCTCAGGAATATGTGGACTGCAATTGTGATTACAATTGCAGTTCACATATTTCTGAGCTTTGAGTTTGCAGCACTGTTATGTTCAAATCTTTCTATTTACACCTCTGTTGGGTTTAAATCTTTCTTGAAGCCATTGGGTGACTTCAGATCACCCTGCTTTATTTGAGGGTAAAGTAGAAGGTGGTATTAATTATATTGCCTTGAAAAGAGAAAGTGACGTCTTCTCATCCTCTTCCTGTTCCATGATCCAGAACACCACACTGCCCTGCCCTGCCCTTATAACTTTTATAGCCCAATCCTATATATGGCTTTCAGGAAGCAACTGAAAGTGCACTGAATAGGTAGATTTCTCTTATAGGAAAGTACACACAGGATTACAGCCTCAGTTGAACTTGGAGTGGTATGAGCAAATCAGTAGGGAATGCTAAACAACTGTTGAAACCACCCAGGGGATAGCTGCTACGTCCACTTGTTAAGCTTCTAGATGGCAATAGGGAATTTTGTATTTCCAATAGCTGGATGTAGAGTTGGGTATATATCACGAGCAGACAACTCTAGGCTGTGATCCATAGACAGATCCCTCAGATGGAGCTTTCAAATGCCTTTTGTTCTATGTTTTTCAATTCTTACAGTCTGAGTTTAGTGTGAGCTTCCTCTTAGAAGTGTGTGCTCTTTATAAGGAATCTTCTGATCACAGCAGGATTTTAACTTTCCTTGTAATCAGGGCAGAATCAGTAGTATCGATATTTGGAATCAAGAACCAGTCTTGTAAGTCAAGAGAAAGGGTTTTATAAATGGCATTCTGAATGTTGATGCTGAATGATGCCGCGCCCACATGGATTTAAACACTACACAAACACCACATTGGCAAAGCCAGTGATTAAGGACTCACAAAGCAAGCAAAGATGACCCATTTAATAAAGAAGCAGGATTCACAGGTGGGGGAGTGGGGATGTAGAGTCCAGCATTGTAGATCCAGATACGTAAAACCAATACAGCAATGTAGGACTTAGGAGATTCCCAAGCAGGCAGTTTGCTCTGAAGTTACACACGATTCCCGATTGCAACCACCTCATCATTTGGGGTGGGATTATTTCGTGAAAAATAATTTAAGAGAAGCCCCCCACCCCAAACATCATTGACCAACTATATGTAGTCTACTTCTCATCTAGGCTATGTTCAACTACTTCCCTTATTAAGACATGGCAGCTTTGAATGTATTTCATATTTGAATGGATTATGTATCCCTTTGGATGCTGTCAAACTACAATTTCTAGCAGCCTGGCCACCAGCATGATCAAAGGGGAAGAGAAGGCTACAAACTGTAGTTCAACATCATTAGAAGGGCTGCTGGTTTTTTCACTTTTAAAAATTTAAAGCACTGGTAGTACATCTAAAACGAGAAGGAGAAAAATGGGCCGCTATTGCAACACTCCTGATTATATATATATATTTGGTTATTTGGGTTTTCTCCGGCGTAAAATTGGAAGTATCTAGGCGACGTTTCGATGAAGTCTCATTCATCATCTTCAGGTTTGTGTCTTCGGCTTTAGCAGACTCACGCCCACACAGAAGAAGAGACACGACCACGGACCGGAAGCCGCACTGCAGCTGCATCACTACCTGCTTCAAACCCCTCCAAGCCATACATGAAGCGAACTGACACCCACCATGAAGATGCAGCACGACCACGAACGCGAAGCCAAACAGCAGGATCACAGTTCACCAGCTCAAATCCCCCAGCAACTAAGACTAACCTGAGCACAACCAAGCCCCCACCTGAACAGAACACACCTCCAGCCAATCAGAACACGGCCAACCCCCCAACCAATCAGAACACAGCCAAACCCCCAACCAATGAGAACACCCCCCATCCAATCAGAACACAGCCAAGCCCCTACCCAATCAAGTCACACACCCACTAGCAGTTAAAAGGAAGAAGCAGCTGCAAGCTCACATTACTCTGAGAGGCACAGAGCAGAAGACAGAAGCCTGAAGATGATGAATGAGACTTCATCGAAACATTGCCTAGATACTTCCAATCTTACGCGGGAGAAAACCCAAATAACCAAAGATCCACATACAAATACCCGCGAGAATCTCAGAATATATATATAAAATATATATATAATGTATCCCAGTACTCATGATCTTGTAATACTTGCATGGCAACTCTTGGAGGTTATGCACATATGTGCATCAGAGGCCTGTAGGTGTGACAGCAGAAATGCTGGTTTGTTCTCGGAAGGCACTGCTGGATGGTACTGTTGGTGTATCTCCACTAGAAGGGGAATCAAGAGGTGTCAGAAAGGACCAGAGCTGCCCAGTTTTCCTTACCTAATAAGGAGGCAGGATTCAGCAGAATAGAACTGGAACCAAGAGATGGGTTTGAAAACAGCTAAAGGGGCCCTGCCCCACAACACCAGAAGATAAAATTCTCTTATTCAGGTCCAGGTTGGTAACTGTGTGGCCCACCTGTGAGTATACTGGGGCTGTGCAGAGCTTCCAAGGTGGGCTTGGCTCTTTTTGATGAAAATTTACACCATGCATCCCGAAGCAACATGTCCCATCTCCAAATCCTTTGCTTCCCATCGCTTTGCTAACAGTTCCAGGAGTCACAAGTGCATTCTGCCCACATGAGACAAACATGCAGAAGCTCCTGGACTCTTCTTCCAGCTATTGGAGTGGCCAGATGAGGCTTTGAGGTGAGGCACAGTGCCATGACAAGAATCATATTGTCTCTTCACCCAACTAGATGAAAAGTGTTGCTTTTGTGGTGTGAAGCCCAGTTGCACACAGGCCCAGTGCACACCAGCATGCAGTCCATCTTGTGTATCACCCTAAATCTGCTGTACGCATTCTTGCTGCCTTGCGATGCATGCTCGGAGGGAGCCATTAGAGGCTCCAGCATACATAAAAGCTATGCTAAAGCAGAAAGCAATACAAGGTTTAGAAAACAATAAGACAGCTATCAAAATATACAGTGTAGAAAACAAGGCCTAGAGAAACCTTCCTCGGACCAGATTTTCAGCCACACAGACGGCAAACCTGTGGAGATGAAATCTCAAGCAACTTTGGAGGGTGATAGCTTTGGACAGAAAAACTGGCCAAAGGAGTAAGAAAATCCTCCTAGTTCTATTCAACAGCAAAAGAGAAAAAAGATGAATTGGCATTTGAGCCGTACTATATCACGTCGGCAAGGAGAAACTTCTAATGATTGTCTACGGAACAACACAAAGAGAGGCCCATCAGGAGGTAGAATTCCTGGTTCTTTTTTTTTCACACATACACAGAGTGGGCCGGAGGCAGGGGAATGCACAGCAGGAAATTAAGTCAGGGCCTCACCCTTGGAGTCTACAGTAGTCCAGTTCTAGGCTTAAGATCACCTTCCCATCTTGTCTGCCTTCACATATGCTAGATTACCTATCTCATTACCTCCATCTGGTGTGGCTCAGAGTGATAGAGATCATAATCCAACCAGGAAGAGATTTGCCTGAAGGCCTATATCAGCCTCACATCTGTTGCTTGGGAAATCTAGGCCGCCACTCAGGGCCAAATGCAGAGATCTCTCATCAAAATCTGCCTAGTGCTTCTAGGCCAAATCCCTACTACTGTCTGGCCACAAAACCCAAAAAGTGGAAAAAGTGTTGTTTTTTCCCCATTTAAAAAATAAAAATAAAGACGGGACCGTTACAAATATATGACCTAGTTATTGTAATCTTAAAAAAAAAACAATCATAGGAAGGAAGGAAGGAGGAAGGAAGGAAAGAAGGAAGGAGGAAGGAAGGAAAGAAGGAAGGAAAGGAAGGCAGGAAGGAAGGAAGAAGGAAGGAAGGAAGGAAGGCAGGCAGGCAGGAAGGAAGAGCTGTGTGATATTCCTCAGGTATGCAAGAGCCCTGTGTCCAGCTATAACTCTATGCCTCCAGCAGAGAATCACCTGTAAAGATAAAAACAAAAGAGAAAGAAAAAGTTACAGACATATTCTTTCCAACAAAACCATGGGGATTTATTGAAAAGGAAGGGGGCATTTTCAGGATGCCATATTCCAAACCAAGCCATGTTTCTAGATTAGGGGTGGCCAAACTTGGCAACTTTAAGACTTGTGGACTTCAACTCCCAGAATCCCAGCATAGCTGGCTAAAGAATTCTGGGAGCTGAAGTCCACAAGTCTTAAAGTTGCTAAGTTTGGTGACCCTTGTTCTAGATAGACTTCTGCTTGTTCCTTGGGCTAACTAAAAGGTATGACCAAAATCTCCTTTGGCTTGTGTGAACTGCATAGAATCCGTTCCCCCATTGGTAGGAATGCAAAACAGAAAGGATGGATGGATGGACGGACAGATAGAAACTCCTACTGCTACAGCAAACAGATATGGGGAGGAATATCTGTTTCTGCCTGTGGTTCACTTCACCGACCCCCCCCCCACTAGTCAATCATACATGTATATTTAAAATTGTCAATTGCTACCTAGAGGGAGGAATCGATCCCCTCCCTCAGAGAAGAATCCACTGATTATATCTAAGGTGTACCCAGTCAGACTGTGTCTCTTGTTCCTTTCCCCCAAGAAATCAGAGTCTCAAGGGCAACTTCAAGCCAGCTTTATTGCTGCTCCCTAAGATTTGGGAGAGTTTTACGAGATGTATGCAGCTTTAGGCTGGGTATCAGGTTGGAAGGGGCCCCATGAAGGCCCAGGCCCCCTTATGAAGCCAGCTCCTCTTAACCCTGCCTCCCCTTTGAGAAAAAAGTGAGTGTCAGTCTGGATTAGGCTGAGCTCTGAGCATAGCAGCACAATGCAACCTTTCTCTATTTGATTGCAGCTGAGCTAATCCAAGCTGAAAGGAGAATTGACTGCCATAATCATGGCTGGATCCCCTCAAGGAAAGTGATGCATTTTTTGCTGCCCAACACAAGGCATGTTCAGGATTTTATTTTTTCAAAGCTTGTGGGTGTTGATTTCCTGCACTGCATCCAAACCCCTGGTTTCTGTGGTGCTATCTGGGAAGTAACAAGCCGGAGAGAGTAATGATTATCAAGAGCCAGGGTTGTTTTCATTCAATTCACTGCCCACTGAGTCACAATTCTGGAATTATTCAGTCGCTGGAACAATTTTTTGTGACTCGGCTTCTGAGAACCTATCAAGAACTTACCTTGGTGAGGTTTTGCTCGATGATCTGGCTCTTGTGTGCATGACTGCACATGGTGTCATCACACTGCTGGTTGCCCACATAAACCCTTATCTGTTTGGTTTTTAATTTGATGTGCTGGGGGAATCAGGGAGGTTGGCCAGTGACATGTTAAGACAGTAAACCACAGTTCCAGACTGAACTTCCGGTTCTGCTTACTACGTGATACTTTATGTGATGTGTTCATGAGGATGCCATTTCCTGGCTTATTCCTATACTTGCTTTTGTTTCTTGCTCAAGCCTCTAGTCAGGGATACAAGTCAAGACTGAGTGATTGATTATATGACTGTGTGCCATCAAGTCACTCCTAGTCAAAAACCCATGGACGATCTCCATGATCAAGTCATGAGTTTGGAATGTCCTGTCCCTCAAAACTTGGCCGACCAACCTGTGATTATTTTTGTTCATGTAGAAGAATAGCTTGTTCAACAAAACAAAATGTCTGAATAGCAAACCCCTCCCCCGATATATGATTACACTTACTCCTTGGGCAGCCTGTCCTTCTCCATGGAGTTCTCCAGTGATATATGAATCCCTTGGTTTTCTGGGCACAAGGAAGACCTCGTTTTGTCAGAGTTCCCTACACCGCAAGCTTCTGTGACTTTTCCCTCTGTTCAAAAAAAATATATGCATACATGAATACATATACGTGCACACGTGTGTGAGTGCATGTGTGTGTGTGTGTGTGTGTATGTGTCCAAGGGGAGATCAGCAGAAAAGAGCAGGAGGGGGATTTTTCTTTCATTCATAGTGCATCAGGACCAGGGGAGAAACTGGGAAATGACAAAATCTCGGTAGATAACACGAAAGATATAGAATTCAAAGAAAAGAAAAGAAAAACAAGACATGAAGACTGTCAGGTTCCTGGGAAATCTCTCCAAAACTAGGTCACTGAGAAAAGAAATGCCAAATGAGATGCATTGTTAATAAGCAGGCACTGTTGTGCATAATATCCTGGGTAGGTAAGTAGGTATAGATAGGTTCTAGATGGCTTGTAGCTGTTGGAAGGGGATTGGGTAGACAGCAATTAAAACCCATCACTACTGGGCCATGACCATCAATCCCCATCCCTAAATTGATTGAGGAGGCAGCCCAACAAGTAACTGGAAACAAACCAAAACAAATCAATCCACACCAACTCATGGATGCACAGACTTTGAACGGGATGCACCCTCTTCGTTTATGTCAACGGGTGGAGGCAATTTCAGGCGAGAATGCTTTTGTGATGCTGCCTGCCACTGCCCCTTCTCCCCCCACCCCAAATTAAAAAAGCAAGGAGAAGAATCTGGGAGAGCTCCAGGAGTGTAAATGCTAGCAGAACAAATAAGAAAAGCATCCTCGTGCCGCTAATTAATCTACCGGGTAACATTATTTAAAGTCTCTAGAGATGCTGCCTTTCAGAATAAAGGTGGCTTACAAGAGATAACTAGGTCTGCATACATTAGCAGAATAATTGACTTCCCATACTCAGCAGGGAGGTCAGAGTCCCAAATAATTCAGTGTTACGGTTTCTTTAGGGAGAAATGCTTCAGTGTGTGTAGTTTTCCAACTTTGAAAAGAAAGAGCGGAGAGTTAAACTGTGGCTTTTTTTTAAAAAAAAAAATTAAATTGTGCATGGAAGGAGTCACTTTTTAGAATAGTTTTTTTTAATCTGTGCTTTCTTTTTTCTTTTTAAGTATGTATAATACTAGTATTATACTATTATACTAGTATAATACTAGCAGTGATCTGAACATTTATATACTCATTTGTGCATCTTTCCGCCTATCAGCTGTAATACATTAAATTATAAGAATCAATGCAATTGCTTGTTTCTTATTTGCATTTCTGATTTTGTAATTGAACTTGTAGTTTTTAAAAAATCTAGATTAAATCTTCTGCCACATTTTTTGGCAATCATCATTCATATCAATTAAATTCACTATCTTGCCCATTCATCCACACAGCAGTGTGTGTGTGTGTGTGTGTGTGTGTGTGTGTAATATACTATTATACTAGTATAATACTAGCAGTGATCTGAACATTTATATACTCATTTGTGCATCTTTCCGCCTATCAGCTGTAATACGAGGACTTCTCTGCTATTCCCTCCTAGTTTATCAAATCCTTGGATGGGGAAAGGAAACAGAGGAAAGAGTTGGGGTAGGATTTGAGGATAATTGTCCTTTAAGTATACCTGCTTTGGGGCTGACTTTGCAACATTGCTGGCTGCAAATATCAGGGAGAGGGTTTTATGCTTTTATCAGAACGGCTGTGCCAAAATAGCAACGATGTCAATCAGCTTGAGGAGAGGAAACAAAAAACTAAGACATGTTTCTGTAAGCAAGGAGATATAGTAAATGGCTGCAGCTTGTATTTTTATACCATTAATAGTGTTTGAGCAACAGATGGCTTTCCTGTTTTCTGTCTCTTACTCCTGTGCCAATGCAACAGAAAATCTTGCTAAGAGTATGTAAGCTATAACATTGCTTGCCTTCTTTCTGTCTGGGATGCCTGTACTAAGAGCTGTTGTTTAATTAGCCATTTTCTTTTGAGGTGGTTCTCCTTAAGTCCTACTGCAGATGTCTCCTTTCCCTGGCAGTTCTCTGGGATCACCAGTGGGACCTGAAGAAGAGGAGGTGAGCTCCTCAGGATCTCACCTCAGTCATGCCCGTCAGCTGACTCTTCCACCCAATCTACCTTGCATCTACTGCAAATTGTTGTTGGGAGAGAGAAGCAGATATGCTGGCTACCTGCAGGGAGGTTAGTCCTGCAGGAGAATCCTCACGTTCATGCCAGGCTCAGAACGGAGGCTCCCTATTAGTGGAACAACATTGAAGAAAAATGATCGTGGTTTGTTTTGGGAAGGCCATGCAGATTGCTTTCCGTTTGTGAATATTTGGGATCGGGGGCTGTAGGTGAAAGAAAAATGTATACGGTTTGGAGTTCTGGATAAAAAACAGTGCACCAATCTGGAAATATGGAAGAAGTAGTGGAAATAGACCTAGAAGAATATGGAAGAAGTAGTGGAAATAGACCTAGAAGCTATGGAAGAGCTGAACTAGCTGAACTAAATCCACTTTAAAAGTGTGAGAGAAAAACAAGAAAAGTGGTTGTAGACAAGATGGAGCCATTGAGGTATCTGCAGTAAACTTATTTCTTTGAGTTACTTATTTCCTTGAGTTACTCTGGAAGTAGCTCCATAAGGCACAAATGCTAGTGTTTTTATTTTTAAGTGAATGGTAACATCTCTGAACCTCTTTCTATTGCTATTGCAAGATAGCCGTGTGCTAAATTATTTCTGTGTTTTCTTTTACTATATGCAGCTAATAGTTTCTGACCCAGATTATGTTCTGCAGAGCCAGCCCGATTTTTTTTCCTGCCTCAAGCAAATCCACATTTTACATACTCTGCTTTACGTCTCATAGCCTAACTGCAGAATGCTGTCACATTAAATTATAAGAATCAATGCGATTGCTTGTTTCTTATTTGCATTTCTGATTTTGTAATTGAACTTGTAGTTTTTTAAAAATCTAGATTAAATCTTCTGCCACATTTTTTGGCAACCATCATTCATATCAATTAAATTCACTATGTTGCCCATTCATCCACACAGCAGTGTGTGTGTGTGTGTGTGTGTGTGTGTGTGTGTGTGTGTAAATTCCATCTTTCCTACCACTCCTTAAACTTTCTTCATTACATTTGCAATTCAGTCATCCAGAATCTGTTGAGTATTAAATTAAAATGGTGTGCCTATGCCTTTGATGGCAGCCTATTTAGGGTAGTGGTTAAGCCACCAGGCTAGAAACTGAAAGACTATGAGTTCTAGTCATGCCTTAAACATGAAGGCAGTTGGGTGACCTTGGCTAGTCACTTGGGCCAGTCTCTCTGTCTCTGTCTCTGTCTCTGTCTCTCTCTCTCTCTCTCTCTCACACACACACACACACAGAGTGTGGGTTAGCTAAAGAGATTACACTATATATCACACCACCTCACGGGACAATTTGTGACAATCAAACTGAATGGGAAGGAAGTGTGATGTATATTTCCTGGAGAAAAAGGAGAACATATACACAAGCCCTAATCCATGAATGAATGAATAAAACAAATCAACAAATAAGAACTTTGCTTGCAAACTCTCTCCTTTACTCGTGCACACACCACTCTTCAATGCTGAAAGTCCATTTAATCATTTCAAAGAGCCAAATGATCACACACCTATCAATTCTTTTGCTTGAGTAGGTGTTTCTATATTTGAATTGTGGGTGGTTGAAAGAAATTCAATGATGCCTGATTACATCCTATGAAATGCAGGAAAATACTGAGCACCCACAAACTGCTGACTTTCCTCCAATAGTGTGCTTTCTTCAAAGATGTCTCTTGTAAGATGTGTGAATACCTGGGTTACAAACACCCCTAGGTTACTGATACACCAGAAAGTTACTTAGCCTACCTCTATGACGGGATAAGCCCAGGCTGTACTCTTTCAGTAACTGATATTTCTCCCTCAGCTGCAACTTCCTTCCCCTATGAAAGATCATAAGATGTGCTGCCCTGTGCAGTGACGGGTTTCAAAAAAATTTCCTATTGGTTTGGTGTGAGCGCGCCTTTGTGCACATACATGCGCTTTGCGCATGCGCAGCGTTTGCAACCCACCTTCTGCTGCAAGCCCTGTGTGTAAAACTTTTAACTTACTGCACCTCTGTATGGTTTGCCAATTGCACAGTGGCAGATAGGAAAGCACTCCAGAGGGTTAATGTCATTGCCCAGAAGATCATTGGTTGCCCTCTCCCCTCTTTGGAAGAGCTTTATAGCTCCTGCTGCCTTAAGAAAGTTCAAAACATTCTCAAAGATCCATCTCATCCTGGGAATCCTTTTTTTGAACTATTACCATCTGGCAGACGGTACAGGATAATAAAAACAAGGGCATATAGGCTGAAAAACAGTTTCTATCCCAGGGCAGTAGCTCTTTTGAATCCTACTGTATAGTGCAATGTTAATGCAATATCAGGGGTTTTCAATTCAATGTGTGGAGGGTGAAGGATGCGTGTTTGTGTTTATTTTCACGGTCATGGTCATGATGTGCACTGAAGATGGTGTTTGATTTCGATGTACGAGGTGCAATGACAATAAAGTAAACTAAACTAAAAAAAAAACTAAACTAAAAAACAGCTGATGCACGGCAATTGGCTGTGCCACACGAAGCAGCTGAGGTTGAAAAGCAGAAAATAAAAGTCAGTATAGGGCCAGGCAGCTGATCATTGGAGTGAACTGGTTCACTCACAAATGATTGTCAGAGCTACCAGTTCAGGTGAACCGGGCCAAACCAGTAGAATACCACCACGGCCCTAGTGGCTGAGTGGTTAAAGTGCAGTATTGCAGGCAAAGTCTGCCCACAGCCTGGAGTTCGAACATGACAGGGTTCAAGGTTGAAGAAGACTCAGCCTTCTATTCTTCCAAGGTTGGTACAAAGAGGACTCAGATTGTCGGGGACAATATGCAAATAATGCTGACATTGTAAACCACCCAAAGAGTGCTGTAAAGCCCTGTGGGGCGGTACATAAACCTACATGCTATTGCTATTTCTGCTGCGATTGTTTGATGCTCATTATCCAGGGACACCACACTGTAGCGCCAGCTCGTGCTGTGAGAATTTGGTAAGGGATTCCAGGCTGTTTTTTTTTTTAAAAAAAAGAACATTCTTAATGCATTATTTATAGGGATAGCAAGGGATCTAAATCCTGCCCTCCAGTGTGCAAACACGCAAGACACCCGGGGCAATGGATGAGCTTAGAATGGATTGATTTTACTCTCAAATACAGGAAGTCCTCAACTTATGGCCACAAATGAGCCCAAAACTTCTGTTGTTGATATTTGTTAAGTGCGCTTTTCCCCCACTATATGACCTTTCTTGCCACCGTTAAGTGAATCACTGTTGTTAAACTAGTAACCCAGTTGTTAAGTGCATCTGGCTTCCCTTGTCAGAAGGTCGCAAAAAGGGGATCATGTGACCTTGGGACACAGCAACGGTCATAAAGTCTGAACCGATTGCCCAAGCATCTGAGTTTTGATTGCGTGATCATGGAGATGCTACAAAGGTCATCACTGTGAAAAAAGCCACTCTTTTCAGTGCCATTGTAACTTTGATTGGCCACTAGAAGAATAGTTGCAAATCGAGGACTACCTGTAGTTCAGTATGGCCAAAACCAACTTGGCTGTCACATTAGCCTTTTCTCATGCCCGTGGTGGAGGCTGACTCTGAGGGAGAGGAGAACAGCCGACAGGAAGTGTTAGTGTGGCTCTGGAGGTTGTGGAGGAGGCTGGGGAAGGGCAGAGGCCAGCTGAGCAGTCAGAGGAAGACCCAGGCCCATCCCCTCTCCGACCTAGGGCATGCAAGGAGGAGAGATAAGGGAGAGACGTGGTCTCCTCGGGAGGAGAGGGCCTTGATCCTCTTCATGGGCTGCAGCTGTGACAACTGGATAAGAGTTTGGGACATCCTCCAGCCCTTATCTTGCCTGGTTTGTGTTGCTTTTTTTCTTCTTCATGTAACTGTGTGGGGTTTTTTTATCTTCTGTCAAAGATATTCAGAGCTTGGAAGCAAAGTGAAGGAATAAAAGGGGCTTCACCTGTTTTCTGTAACTGTGTTTGTTTTGTAAACCACCCTGGGTCATCACACATTTGGCCACTGGAGGCCACTGTTTCCCTGACTTATGAAGCCAAAGTAGGTTGTTATCAGGCATAACATACAATCCAGGGTGCTTTGGTATAGATAATATGCTCTGCCACCTGCGCAGCTGATCAAAGGGATCTGCAGCAACACTGCTTTAACATGCATCTTGATGAAATACTGGCTTATGTCGGTGGTGGAGAAATTGCAGCTCTCCCAGGCTGTGGAGTTACAATGCACAGCCACAATAGCCTGCCTGGCCACTAGGGAAAGAAGCCATGTTCTTTAGGTTGGAACCCATGTTATGGTAGCATGGCATCAATATACAGAGTCAAGGTCACGTTCTTTGAATGACTGAGTTGGATTCTACAGGCAGGAAAAAGACTATTTCTCAGCTGTTCCTCTTCAGTTTGGGGGTGACTGTGGGTGGGCGGGATAAGGTACACGTAATAATTTAGGTCACCACTGGAAACTGAAGAAATCTGAATACTGTGACGTTTTGGACAGATCAATTATTTTCTGGGCCTGCGCTAACTTGCCATGTATATATTAATGGATCTAGTGTGTCCTGCCTTGGATTGGCAATTTTAAAAAATCTGCATAAATCCTCTATTTGGACATCCAGATACACACCACAGACAAGCACAGACATATATGCATTTAAAAAAAACTATCTAACGCAGCAGACATTTCCTTTGAAATTGGTATAGCTTTGAAGAGCATTGTCTTCTTTGAGCCAAAATGGACAAGGCAATATTCAAAGAAGTGCAAATTCTGAAGAATGTGCTTGGACTAATGTGTGTGTCAGCCTGGGCGGCATGGATCAGGGCATGAAATTAGCCCAGATCAAATCCTGCTCCGCATTCTTATTATCCCACTGTGGTATTTCTAAGTCCTTTTTTTTTTTACTTCTCTCGATCGTGGTCCTTCATTTCTGAAGAAAATCAATCAATCAATCAAAGCCTGAACTTGGGACCCTGATCCTTCCTCCCAGAGCTGGTGGCTTGGAAGGGCCTTCGGTCATTACAATATTAGGGCATGAATGAAAAGAGCATGCACTGGGAAAATAAAACAAACAAACAAAAATACATATTTTCCAAAAGCAGTATACCTCAAGGGGCTATTTTATTAGGTGTTTTCCTGTTCCATGGAAAATGAACTTTCTTCATGAAAGAAGAGTGAATTTAAAAGAGGTTCCCCCCCCACACACATTTTGATAGAGGTGGAAAATCTGTGACTCTCAAATGTTGCCACATAGGCCAAGCCTGTTGGGAACTGTGATTCAGTAACATCTGGAGAACTTCAAGCTCCTTACTAGGCTTGGACTATCTCCTTTGAAGAAAGCACATATCTGGTCAGGTTTGGGGTCAAGACTTGAAGCAATCTAGGCAGGCTTCCTTCTTCATGGGAAGTGGGTACAAGTGAGATGCTCCAAGGAAGCCTGGCTTGCCCTACATTGATAGGATCATACTCACGTTCTTCAAGACCAGAGTGTGGTTTTTCCTGGGACTCCGGCTGGGCGTGGGCTTGAGCCAAAGGGCAGCTTTCGGGACTGTGGGCCGGTTCTATGTTGGCATGAGGGCAGCAGCTTGGACTGTGTGACTCTTGTACCTCAGCACTGTCTTCTTCCTCTTCATCTCCCTGCTGCTTGCAAAGATGGTGTTCGACCATCAGCTGGAGCTCTGAAAAGTAGAGGTGGGCAAAACTTATGAAAACTGTGATCCCAGGATGATTTGATTCTTATGGAAATGTTTACTTTTTTTGAAAGTCTCTGCTGAAAACAGAAAATTGTTCTGGTGCATTAAGGAACATATCTGTTCTGTCACCAGTAAAGAGACTCTCAGACCGGAGTTGACTTCAGCTCTTTAATAATAAACAGTAATTTCAACTGCAGTCGAACTACAGCAGCCCTTTTTATAGTGGCTGCTCCATGGCTCGCAACCAATGACATTTAGTTAAACTTCCCGCCACTATAGGCGGCCAATCAGATACTAACGTTACTAACCAATTGTATCGTTGCTTCTTCTAACCAATAGGAACATCGCCCTAGAAGTCTCTATTTAAATACACTACAATATCCACTGGCAGGATTAAAAAAAATTTCCTACCAGATCTGTGCGCATGGCTAGGTGGGCATAGCCATGTGACTGGGTGGGAATGGCTTTTTTGCAGCCATCCCCACCCGTTTTTGGGCCTTCTGGGCCTCAGGCAAGCCTCCTGGGGGGTGTTTTTGCTTCCAGAAGGCTCCCCTGGGACTCAGGAAGAAGAAAAATGGATCCTGGACCCCCCCCCCACACTCCATTTGGGGGCCTTCTAGGCCTCAGGGCTCCCCTGGAGCTCAGGAAGGCAGAAAATGGAGAGGGGAGCCTGCACCCCTCCCTCCATTTTTTGCCTTGCTAGGCCTCAGGGAATCCTCTTGGGTGAAGCAGTAAGACAAGCTAGGGGAATCCCACCACAGCTGATCATATGAACAGCTGATTGTCAGTAGGGGAAAAAAAAAAAGAAATACCTTACGGGGCGAATGTCAAGTGGGCAGGGTGAGCAAGCATCAGGTGGGCGGGGCAAGCAAGCCAGTGTGTCAGCCTTCAAGATCTTCTACCTTTGCTTTGCATCTTTCGTCTGCCATAAGTAACGGGGGGAGGAGAGGGGACAAGTATGGGAAGCGAGCTGAAGGTGGTACAAACTAGCATTGTATAAACTGAGGAAGGGGGAGAGTACATTCTTGCTTAGGTTTCTATTTCTTGCTTAGCTTTCTTTTCTCTGCACAGCTGCAAATCTTTATCAAAGTATGGCAAGGTCAAGGGACAGAAACTTCATCACCACCTGAAGATGTCCACACGATGATATTCACAACTTTTAATTGGAAGAACCATTTGAACTATTGGGGGTGGGAACATTTCCATCACTTTGTATATGTGATTTACGCGCCTATTTCCTCAGATTCAGAATTCTCTTGTTGCTACCACTTCATTTCCAGTAAAAGATATCTTTTCTCTAATTAAAAGAGTCTAAGTATTTCTTTCTTGGATTTTGAATGGAGCACCAGCTGACACCAGCCAGAACTTACTACCAGTTCGGTGACCCATGCCAAATCCTTTCTACCGGTTAGCCTGAACCGGTGCAAACCGGCTGAATACCACCACTGAACATATCTACTGGTTAGTCTTACACAGTATAAGTGGCCTGCAGTTTTGACAGAATTGGAACGGACTAGAATTGGGGGGGCTCTTCTAGTCCAATTCCCTGTTCGAACAGGAAACCCCAGACTGTTTCAGACAAATGGTTGTCCAATCTCTTCTTAAAAACCTCCAATGTTGGAGCACCCACTACTTCTAGAGGCAAACAATTTCACAATCGATTCATTGTTTTCACTGTCAGGAAATTTCTCCTTGGTTCTAGGTTGCGTCTTTCCTTGATTAGTTTTCATCCATTGCTTCTTGTTCTAGTTTCAGGCGCTGTGGAGAATTGATTGACAACCCCCCCCCCTCTTCTTTTGTGGCAGTCCCTTAGATATTGGAATTTGCGAACTTCAGCTTCGTAGATGCCTTTGATGGCTAGAGATTATGGGAAATTGGGCCACACTTATGCTAAACAGGTTCCCAAAGATTCACCGATGATTTGGAAACCACTGTAGGTGGAATGCATCATTAGGAGAGGATTATTTTGTTGTTCTTTGATCCTCTCCACATTCTTCCTGTCTAGCCTTCAGACTAATAATACAGTATTCCTAATAGCCATTCACAGGTTGACCTTGAAACTTGAATGGCAATGATAATTCTTGTATCTATTTCCTGGATTGTGATGTTTCCCCTTTCCTTGAATACACATGTTCTAATTTAGAAACTTCTGACAGGCTTTTAATGCTGATCTCTGCACTCCTCTGCAGTGGCTGCTGCAGTCCCACCCCAGCCTGACAATTGCATCCTGCATTATACGAGGCACTGCAACACTCCGGAGTCAAAGACGAAGGAGGAGAAGGCTGGTAATTGGAGAGAATGCAGAGGACCAACACAAAGAGATAAACTGCTTTAATGCAAAATTAATGAAACACGATCCTGGTAGGGATTAGGCAGGATATGTGAAAAGTTACAGGGAGGTGGGAGGAGTGGGAACAGTGGGGGGGAGGGGGAGGAGAAAGAAAGACCTTACAAAATGATGGAAAGGCTAAAGGAATCTTAGCACTGACTGACAAGTTCTGAATACTACAAGCTAATGGGGAGTACATTATAGACAAGGTGGTGACACTCATCCAAAAATAAACCCTATGCTCTTTTAATGAGTATCGCAGGATGCAATGTCTGGTATAGCACATATAGCAAGAAAGAAGATATATATTTTAAAAACCCACAATCAGCCTGTGGACCTTCCATTTTAACAACAGGATATTATTTCAAGCTCTGTTCTACAGACAGCTGGCAAGCATTTGACTCACTACTCACCTCACCCTCACTTCATGTTTTGAAAATAGGACAGGGGACTTGGGGTGAGGTCAGATTGTGATTTGGACCAGTTGTGTGTTTCAAAAACATTTACCACTGGTTCGGTGGGCATGGCTTGGTGGAAAGCTTCTGCGCCTAGGCAAAGTGCGTGTTTGGTGCATGCGCACACACACTTTTTGTGCACGCGCTAAACACGTACTTTGTGCAGGCTCAGAGGCTTTCTGGTTCACTTCCTGCAATCCTGCACTCTCCTTGTTGCTTCAGCAGCCACCACACGACAATCTGCTGTGCTGCACAAAGCAGCTGCACTTCAAAAGCAGGACAAAAAGGTCAGTATGGCAACCCGGGCAGGCGGGTGGGCCCAACAGCAGAGTGTTGAAGGGAACCAGTTCAGTCTCCACTGCTCTTCGGCACTACCGGTTCGGTAGAACCAGGCCGAACCAGTAAAATACAACCACTGATTTGGACATACAAGAAGGCTGAGCGTGTCTCATTTGGAGTGGGAAGAAAACTCAGACTATCTGGTGAGACTACCTTTCCAAATGTTCCCCCTTCTTTCTCCCTATCATTTCAAGAAGGGCAAGGGAACTGCTGGACGTAACAGTGAGCCCTTCTGAGGCTCAGAAAGCAGCAAACTATCTTGTTGCTGTTTCCTAGGCACCGTGATGGATTCCATCCTTCAGTACAGCCACATGGCTTCCGGACCAGTTACCTTTCATGGTTGGAGTAGTGCGAGAGACCTTCTTCCTCTGCCTTGGGGACATTGACAATCCTGGCTGCAAAGAGAAGAAAGAGAAAGTCCTAAGAGATACAAAATGCCAAAATTCAGGTGCAATATATGTTGAGGTAATTCCCCGTTAGGAGAATGAGTGCATACAGGGAGACGTATAGAGAGTAGTGTTTGAATAATACACACACAGCACACAGATACACTGTACAGTAAATGTTGGTTTTTACTTTCAGAAAAGTTTAAGCAAAGGTCAAAATAAACAGTCCAAAGTCATTCACAAGTAAATCAGTCAGTTTTCAATCCAAGAATAATCCAATAACAAAGTCCAGTGCCAAAAACAGTTCAGTATCAGACTTACATCAAATCCAGAAATATCAGCCAATTAGGAAAAATGGAGGAATGGCAATACTCTCCAGCAGAAGGAAAAACAGACTCACTCACTTCACTGAGACTCTTCTGAGACTAAGACTAAACAACCCAGGTTTCTGGCTCCATCCTATGGCCATTTGAGTAACCACACCCAATTGCAGTTTTTAGCATGCTCTTAAAGAGACAGTATTAAAATGTCTATCCTGGTTTATATATTTCTAACCCAAATATCTGTTAGGTGACTTATATTCCTAACAATGTACAATCTTTTAACTAAGTGTTGCATCTAGTTCTTGTTACTCAGAGACTGAAACAAGAATGAATGAAACAAATTCTTGAAGATCTGGAGTTCCAGCTTCTTCTTTGTGATGGGCACATTATCTGGTGCGTTAGAAGACTACAATTTTCTGGGCTCTTGCCTTTAGTTGACAAGCTAGAACCAGCCCAAGCCTCTTCGCCTGCACTCCCTTTTTTCAAGTTTATGATCTGCAGAGGTCTATCCTCCTCCCCACTCCCATGGAACAATGGGGGGAAACATGGTAAACAGCAAAATTGACCTCTGGTCCCTTCAGAATCAGACATGCAGATGAGGCTACAAGATTGGGGTTGAGAAAATCTAGACTACCACAGGAGGGCAGCAGAGGGCTAGATTTCCTGTACTTCTTTGCTCCCAGCCAGGTCAGTTGGGAGACTTCAAGTAGCCGTAAAATTAATTCCATCTTTTCCCATTATTAAGGCTTATTAATTTGAGCAATAACAGTAAAACTCATTCCAGTCCCATGAAAGCTTTGTGTGTGGCACTCTAAGAACTAGTGCTTTGGTGTTCCTGGCATTCTTAGTTTTACTTCTCAGTAAACACTTTTTTTATTGGAAGTGTGTCCATTCATACATGACATGTATTCCTCTATTATCATCCTGGATGGCTTTTGTGTATTACTACATTATTCTGCTAAATGCATCATTGACTCTATGGTTCAAGTCCGAGAACAGCAGGAGTGTATATACCTTCAGAAGCGGGTTGGGGATCCGGTCTTCATCGATTTCTAGGGTGAAAAAACAGGGACAGAAAAAGAAAAGACAATAAGTTAAAGGTATGGTAAAGCCAACACACCAAATCTTAGAACTCTGGGTTATTTTTGCAACAGAAATATATTTTCACTGTCTCCCTGGATGTTATTTATTTGTATTCCATCTTTATTATTTCTACAAGAAGCTCAAGGCGGCGAATATATCCTCCTGTTTCCCCCCACAACAACAACCCTGTGAGGTGAGTTTGCCTGAGAGAGAGAGGTCGCCCAGAGCTGCCTTTCATGGCTAAGGCAGGACTAGAATTCACAATCTCTCGATTTCTAGCCTGATGTGTGATGCACTTGTTATTACAGTATAGAGTAGATAGAGGCTGTTCCCGTATGTGACTCAAGGGATGCTTGAGATGGCAAGCACCAACTTCTGCACTTCTCCTTTGGGCTTCTTTCTGCATTACCTGGGGCCCTTCAATGTGCTGGATGATCCATCCCATTGATTATCATTAAACAACATTGCTAAGATTTAGCCTTGCTGGAGAGTTCACTGGTTTACTTAGGTAGCTGTAGGTTTTTTGGTGTGTGTATTTTTCATATATTTCTATTATTATTGGGGTTGGTCACCCAGTCAGCCAGATGTTTAGCTTGGATTTGGCATCTACTGAGTCTGTCTGTCTGTCTGTGTCCGATAAGTTCTTTCTATGCAATTGTTAAGATAAATAAGAAATATCACGGAGGAAAAACACATCTGGAAAGGTTTTGGGGTAAAGGGTAAGGCTATACTGTATCCTGAATCTGTGGCTACAGTAAGCAAGGACATACAATCTACAGCCTCAAAGTTACTACCAGCCAAAGACCTTTTCTATAGCCCTTAAGGCCCCTCCTGAGCAGGACAGCTGAAAACTGATGGCCGTCCTTACTGCCACTTGGAGACAGATGTCAGCTGTTTTGTAAGGGAATGGATAAACTTGCCATGCAGCCAACTCATCATGGCCAACTCACTGCAGGGTAACTTGCCATGGTCAACTTGCTGCAGGATAATTTAACAATTCTATTTAATTATTTTAAAAAAGTAAAAAAATATTTTTATTTTTGCCATTTACATTTCATTCGGTCCTTCTTCTTGCATCCTTTCTTTAATGATTTTATTCCACCATTGCTTTGTTATTAGTGTAGCTCTTGTTCAGCAGTGAATTGTCCTGTGGCAAGTTGGCTTTGGCAAGTTAGCCATGGTGAGATGGCCGTGTCAAATTGAGCATGGTGAATTGTCAAAGACCCATTCTGTAAGCCCTCAAATAGGCACAGGCCACCTTTAAGACACCCCAAGAATCTTCCCCTAACTCTAGCCTTGCCTGTATATTTGATGTTCCTTTTTGCAGCCCTCGGCCATCTTGAAATGCCAATTGTGGCTGTTTTCCACCCCAACTTAACAATTACAAAATAACCCTACAATCTTGATGTTTGCTCCATCTCAGTAGACTGTAGCCCAAAAGCTAGAGTAAGACAAGCAGGTTTTCCAGAAGCTTCAAGTATTAAAAATGGAGCAAAACTTCAATTCTGGCCCACCGATAACTTATCCTATCCTCCTACTCAACTGCAGCCCGTGATCCTGTCCCCAGGGATCCCAAAGTTGGCTTGGCTCACAAAGGGCTGGACAAGACAGCAGGTGTTGTGGAGCACATACAGAAAGCCCCGGTCAGATGCTGCCTGGAAAAACACCTGAGGCTTTTTTCCACAATCCTGCCGCTTAAGCACCGGCCTCTGCAATTTGCTGGATCCCTGCCGGGAGCCTGTGATTTTATTTGTCAAAGTGCCTGTCGTGCTTGATTATGCTGCGCTTTGAGATCTTTAGGATGACTTATGCCGACTGTGGCATATCATTACGGGCAGCACCTCCACGTTTGAGTCATTTATTACATTATAATGGAGTTTTATCATTGTTTTATTAGTTGTCAGCTCTGTTATGGGTAAGGTGAGCCAACTGGTCCTGCAGAAATTGAGCATGTGAAGCTTTCCATGGTGATAAACCCTTTTATTGCCAATAGAACAAACGGCCGTTTGAGGTACAGCGGTAAAGAGCCTTGGCTAAATCGTTAGCTCTTCCCAGAAGGAGACCTCAGGAACAATGGTGTAATCTAGTTTCTGCAGGTAGCTGAATGCTGTGGGTTTTTTTTTAATTTTAACTGGCTGATCACCCTTTCCTCCCCTCTTTTTACAACCGAGCTGGTATTACTGGCTTGCCTGTTTTACGCAGAGGAACTGGAAGTATAGCATGAATGTTACCTTAGAAGACAAAAGAGCGAGGAGAGAAGTCGAGTGGGGTACAAGGAGAGGCATAGTCAAAGGCTAAAAGGGGAGGGGAACAAATCAGATTATTTATTATTTGTTTGATTTACTGCCGGCCTTTCTTCCTGGAGCTCAAAGTGACATATATAAGAAAACCTCTCTCTTTTGCCTCCCTGTAAGGGAGGCTGGGTGGAACAAAACCGACTTGCCTAAATTTGCCCCCTGGCAGAGGATGGATTTGAACCAAGGTCTCTCAAGGCTGAGGTCAGCACTTGAGAATCAATACAACAGCCTGCTTCTCTTTACAGGTAGACACAGAATACAGTGACTCCCATAGTTAGGATGCTGAGTTGGAGATTAGCAAGCCTGTGTTTGAGACCCGTGTGCTGCTGTGGGGAGGGTGAGCTCCCATCCCTTGCTCTAGCTCCTGCTGGGGACATGAAAGGAGACCCCAACTGGGCGTCTCCTGGGAAACGGCGATGTCATCGGCTAATCCTTTCAACCAGGAAGTGTCTCAAGGCTTCTGACGAGATGGTGATGCACCACAGGTAGTTCTCAAGCTACGACCTGCAACTGGCACAACTAATGACAGTTGTTAAGTGGATCACCATGTGATCAGACCTGATATTGCAACTTTTTGCGGTGATCATAAATGTTCACTATAGAGTGGTTTTTGCCAGAAACTGGAAGCAAACGTCAGCTTCTGGCAAAATGTTCGTATGGTCGTGGGATGTGGGATGCTGCAGATAACTGTAAATGTGCAAACATGTGAATGTGGTTGGGGGAGGATGCTGGATCTTCAAAGGTGGGTCATAAGTAGCTTTAGGGGTGTGTGTGTGTCTGTCATCACTTTGAATGGTCGCTAAACAACCAGTCATAAGTCAAGGACATGTGGTATCATAAATCGGGTGAAATTAACCATCTCCAGATTTAAATCTTTTGACCCGATTCGTGGCTGAAAGATGGTTTAAAATTTCAAAACCTATCCAGAACCATTTCCAAAGCCCTTCCTCCATGGGGGCTGCTCTGGACTGGCACCATGCCACAGCATTAATACCTTGCTGTCCTCAGGCAGTCAAAGCAACCATTGCTCCAATTGGCAGCTGAACTAAAGCTAAAAGAGGGTCTTGGAGGTGGACCAGGTGATAATTGGCAGGATGTCTGGCCAATCTCCACTTCCCAACTCTGACATCCTTGGAGCCCCGCGGTATAACAGATAATCAGAGTTGGAAGGGACCTTATAGGACCTTATCTAGTCCAACCCCCCCAACCAAATGGTCTCCTTCTACTAATCTTTTTGCAGGCAGATCAGCTTTTTTACTTTTACTCCCCTCCCCCACTGCAAGACCAAATGTGGGGATGAAGCCAGGATAGGGGTCTTGCACTCGGAGGGTAACATTTTCACCCCTGTTTATTAGGAGGCTGGAGAAAGTGCTGGTGAGCTCAGGAATCGTCTCCAACTTTGCCAAAACAGAAAGGAAGAGACTTGTGTTCGGTGTGTGAAATTTCTAAGATGGAGCTGGTAGCTAGGCGGAAGTGCTCCAAATTGTGAAAAGGAAACAGAGGTTAATGTTTACCAGAACTCACCGGAGTTTAAACGTCCAGGTTTAAATCCCAGGGTTCAATAATCCCTGTAAACAAGCAACAAATATTTCTGGACCTTTCTCAGGTCCATGCAGCTGAATGAACCTGAGCTGGGATGCGGACCCAGATTGTTGGGGGCAATAGGGTGACTCTGTAAACTGCTTAAAGAGGACTGGAAAGCACTGTGAAACGCTATGTGCTATCTGGGCAGCCAAAATCTGGATGACTACCATGCTACAGCAGGGGGTTATTGTCTGTATCTCTTAGTGATCATCTGGTGGTCTTTGCAGCCCTGATCTGGAAGCCCCAAACCAAGACCATGTTCTCAAAATGTTGGAGACATTTTGTATTAGAGTTAGTTAGCCTCTTGTATTAGGGTTAGTTTGACAGTCGCAGGAGTTTGCATAATTCCCTCTCCCATGTTTTATACGTAAACAGGTTTCGATTTGACTAGGCAACCCCTGACCCCTTGGCTCATTGCTTCGGAGATATTCCCTTATCTAAACAGAGGAACAGATTAACCACAGTCAGTTTTTTTTTTAAAAAAAAGAGTGAGAACAGGAGCGAGTTCCAATCGCCTGCCAATTTGCCCATTGACTCAGCTTGTGGGAAGTTGGCAGGGAGCACTGGAAAGGAGGAATAAAGTGACCACTGCTATTAAAAAAAAAGCAGTATTGCAGGATGGCATGATGGCATGGCAGTGGCCACAACTTTGCCAATGCAACTGGGCTAAAGATCCTTGAAATTTCAATCTTGTGAGAGTAATGGTTTGGGGACACGTTAATGTTAAGTTAGCATATTTGCAGTATGCCTGGATTCAAAAATTGTCACCTTCACTCAGTTGAAGGTGACAAGCAGACAAGGGAGTTGCAGTAGTACATAAATAGTATACAGTAGTCCTCTTTTGTTGCATTATTCATTATTTTTTTTTAAAGCTCTTGTTTCTTCTTCTTTTGTTTTTTTTTCCTCCAAACCACTGCAGGAAAAAGCAGAGTTTCTTGATAAACTAGGCAGCTACCATTTTATTTACCCACAATACTTAAAAACAGGCATTATCTAATTGCAGCTGCCACAGAATAGTATCTCTCCAGGGAGAAATTGTTACAATTTATAATTGTGCTCCCAGTTAAATTATGTAAAACAGCCTGAAA